GGAGGTATCACTATATTGAGGATATGCCTAAATGTCTGCAGATATATTTCATTATCATCATGTTTGAGTTTTTTTATCACAATATCTTTAGAAGGCGGAATGCTTACAACAGATGTCTAAATAGTCTTTGAAGGGTAAAAATTGACTATTCCCCGTAACGACTACCCAACCGCAACACACGGAACAAATCGGATAACTATTTTAATATAAAACCAGTAAGGAAAGTAGTAAAGTCGGACGGGGCCGACTATATGATACCCTTCACCACTATGAGTATATTAAACAGGGCTAATAACATGAAATTGGATGAAATAAAATATGTGATATTTATCTAAATGTGAATCGACTTAGATCTATCCATAAACATGTCATTCGTTTGTTACAATGGGACAAAAGTATGTAAATCGACTTCAAAAAAATATCAATAGGTCATCCGTTGGGCTATGTCTGTACTTCTAGAAAACGCAACTACGTAATTCTATGCTCAATTTTGTACGTTGTGCAAAATTTGATGCCAATCTGACTAACATGAGGAATTTGATGCCCAATTTACTTAAAATCGGGTGAAAATATATATGGAAGCTATATCCAAATATGGACCGATTTCAACGAAACTAATCACAGGTTAGGTTACACTAATTTCAGTAAGTTTTGTTCCTATCAGCCATATATTGGTCCCTTGGTGCGTCAATTTCTTAAAATCAATCTATAATATATGGAAGCTCTATCTAAATGTCAACCGATTTTCACAAAAACTTGGCACACATCATTCTGTACTAAATTCAGTACGCCAAATTTCGTGCAAATTGAAAGATATATGTGGACTTTGGTGCACCATTTACATGAAATCGGACGAAACTATATATGGGAGCTATATCTAAATCTGGACCGATTTTCACGAAACTTGCCAGACATCATTCTAGACCCAAATGAATAGGCTGTACCAAATTTCGTGCAAATCGAAAGATATATAGGGACTTTGGGGCACCATTTACATAAAATCGGACGAAACTATATATGGGAGCTATATCTAAATCAGGGCCGATTTTCTCGAAACTTGGCAGACATCACTGTAGGCTTAATTCAGTACGTTATGCAGAATTTCGTGCAAATCAAAAGATATATAGGGACTTTGGGGCACCATTTACATGAAATCGGACGAAACTATATATGGGAGCTATATCTAAATCTGGACCGATTTTCACGAAACTTGGCAGATATCATTCTAGGCCTAATTGATTAGCCTGTACTAAATTTCGTGCAAATCGAAAGATATATAGGGACCGTTTCCATTAAATCAGGCGAAAATATATATGGGAGCTATATCTAAATCTGAACCGATTTTTCCCAATTTCAGTAGGGTTCGTCCTTGGGCCAAACAAATGAACTGTGCCAATTTTCATCCATATCGGATCATGGGGGTTATATGGGGACTACCCCTAAAAAGCGCTGAATATTAATAATTTTTGGTAGGGAGATTTGTTACCATATACGACTACAAAATACCAAATTTCAGCGAATTCGGTTGAAAAACGCGCTCAAGAACCTCAAAATATCGAAAATTGGGGGTACCCTGATATGGGGGCTACCCGAAAAAATTGACCTATATTTATAATTTTTTGTGAAGAGATTTGCTACCCAATAAGAACTCAAATTACTGAATTCCAGCCAATTAGGTGGAAAAATCCGATCAAAACTTCCAAAAACTGGAAATTGGGAGGTAATCTTATATGGGGGCTACCAGAAAAGTGAAATATATATATAATTTTTAGTGGGGAAATTTGGTACCCAATAAGAACCCAATGTACCAAATTTCAGCGAATTCCGTTGAAAACCGCGCTCAAGAACCCTAAAATACCGAAAATTGGGGGGTACCCTTACCAATAAGAACTCAAAGTACCGAATTTCAACGAATTCGGTAGAAAAATGTGATCAAAGCCCCCAAAATATCACAAAATGGGGGTACCCTTATATGGGGTCTATCCGAAAAAATTGACCTATATTTATAATTTTTAGTAGGGAGATTTGCTACCCAATAAGAACTCAAAGTACCAAATTTCAGCGAATTCAGTTAAAAAGCGCGCTAAATAACCCCAAAATACCGAAAATTGGGGGGTACCCTTATATGGGGACTATCCGAAAAAGTGGATCTATATTTACAATTTTTAGTAGGGAGATTTGCTACCCAATAAGAACTCAAAATATTAAATTTCAGCGAATTCAGTTAAAAACGCGCTAAATAACCTCTAAATACCGAAAATTGGGGGCTACCCTTATATGGGAGCCATGCCTAAATGGACCGATTTTCTCCAATTTCAATAGGGTTCGTCCTTGGGCCAATTAAGTGACCTGTGCCAAATTTCATCCAAATCGGAACATAAATGCGTACAGGTTGTTAACAAAAATACATGGACGGACGGACAGACGCACGTACAGACGGCCGGCAGACGGACATGCATAAATCGACTCAGAAAGTGATTCTATGCATATTCTCAAAAGGAACCATGGGTCTATCTCGATTTGCCTGTTACAAACATATACACAAAGACATAATACCCTGTACCACAGTGAGGTGAAGGGTATAAAAACTGGGAGGACTTTCAATGAACCTCAAAATTAAGCGGTTGAAAATTTCAGAATGAGGACTCAAATTCCCTTATTATAGCCAATTGCGTTGAAAAACGTGTCCAAAAAAGGAAGTACCGCTATATGGGGTCTCCAGTAAAAAAATCGAGATGTTGGCAAAGGAATGACAGATTTCGGAATAGGTAATTCAAATAACTTCAAAATATATAGATTCATTATACAGAGGCTCTTCAAAAATGCATTTATATTGAAGAAGTTTCTTATTCGCCACTTGTTTGAAATACCAAATTACAGCCACTTTTATCGGGAAATGCGATTAAAACATTAAAATTATCGAAAATGGGGCGAGAACTTTATATGAAGACTAGCCATATCGGAAATTTCTGCAAAGATATTTTTTACTCTCTAAAAATCAGCAATGCCAAAATACAGCTGATTTGGTAAAAAATCCACTAAGACTTTTAAAATACTAAAAAGGTTTCGGGATATTTCGGCACATATATTTTCACCCTTCATGGATCAGGAATGACAAATTACTGTTGCTTTGCTGAGAAAATGAGGCTAAAACCTTCTAAATACCCCAGAAAGGGAGGGACATTTCTAAAAGCGATATGTCAAAACAAATACCTATATATAGGTCTGAATAGATATTTGTATATCAGCGTCTAAAACCCCAGAATTTAAAATTATAGTCAATTATGTTGCAAAATGAATGTCAATGTCAGAACGTGGACCGATATATCCCATTTGCAAGACCGAACATCCTATATGTTGTAGTAATGTAACCTTAAAAACTATTTTAAATAGATCGGGGATATGTTGGACCTACATTATTTGAAAATGTATTTCAACCTCCATGAACTCGATATTCCAAAAAACAGACATTTCTGTTAGAAAATACGGAAAATAGTTATCAAGCGAACGTTATACCTGAACCGATTTGTAAAATTTTAGAAGTCTATAAAGCGGTTGGAGCCTCCTTTAAATCAATAGGGAGCTTCACATTGAGAACCCAATAAAAAAATCGGAAGATAAATTTATATTGGAGCTATGTAGAAATATGTATATATTTTTGCGCAGGACTAATTTTTTATATATGAATGTAAAATATCTCTGAAAATTAAATAAGAAAATACCATCAGAGCCAACTTTTATATGAGAGTCATACCAAAAAAAATTACCCACCTTCAAAATATTTAAAACAGGGCGCGACGTTTTGTATGTTATTCTGTCCTCTGAACTTAATCTCTTATATTCCTGCCACCTCTATTGAAAACGTGGCTAGAACCTTAAAATCCCACGAAGTTAGACTAAATGAGAAAAAAAAAACATTATCATAGATATTCCTTCCGAGCCAAACGCTCTTCCTCCTCCTTCGTATATTGTAGTGGTACCTCCTCGGATCGGATTGCTCAAAGAATTGCCGGTTAAAATAACCCGCGCACCTCTTCCGGTCTGTCACAGTCACGTCGTCGTCCATGATGACAGGACGGCTGCCAGGATTCGAAAGTGACTTAACCGTTACCCACAATTTACTTCTTCTGTTGACAATTATGTATTACTTCAATCGGTCTTCAGGGGTCGTACGACGGAGCTCATCACGTTCATTGGTTAGTACCGTCGCCTCTGCTGGAAAATCTAGCTTATTTCGAAAAAAATCCACATTTCAAACGTAGGTTCAACCGAAATCCAAATTTGTTACCCAATGTCAGCATTCCAGCTCTATCGGTTCAACCTAATCCAAATTGTACCAAATTTAGTGTCAAGATTGCAGCTCTATCGGTTCATCTAAATCCAAATTTGGAACAATTTAGTACACATTTGTACGAATTTCCAAATTTATTTGATGGTCCAATCCTACAGTGACCCTAACTCCAATTTTCAGAATTCCAGCTCGATTTGTACCTCTAAATTTGTACCAAATATAGTACCATACAGAACTTTTCGTACACATGAGTACACACTTTGAAAACCATCTCTTTATATCGACCCTATTTCTCAACCCTAATTCGCATTTCAAGTTCAAGTTTTCACATGCTACGAAATTGTACGAAATTTAGTACATTTTAGTACTTTTCGGATACTTATAGATTAAATTTCCAAAAAATCCTTTTCTACGCCTATTCTACACTTCATCAGTGATCCTCATTTTAAATTTAAGAATTCTAGCTCTACCGGTTCGCACCGTTCCAAAAATCCAGCCTTATCTGACATAATTGGGCCAAGAGTGACCCTCACCTAAAATTTCAAGATTCTAGCTTCAGCCGTTTCGTCTGGGCGTTGATGAATCGTTAAGTTCTCTGTTCTGTTCTCTGAGCACTCAAACTATCAAATTAATGTCACCTATATTGAAAAGACGAACCTTAAAACCCCACGAAGTGATAATTGATTCAAACAACAAAATTAAAATTCAGTTTTTTTTATTTATAAAAATTTCCGCAAATTAGAAGAATGTAACCTTATACTTTTCCGAAGTTGAACACAAATTAGGATATTTAGGATTGACACCAGTTTGACAATCCATGGCAGGTTTGGCACAATCAGTGTAAATGGGTTGTTTCAGAACATTTGTGAAGGCAAAGTTGCAGGCAAACAGGAAAGAAGAATAGTCTTTACCCGACTCGGTGTAGGTGGCAGCAGCACAGCCAAGGCGATAGTTACGATCAGCCACCATGGCGGTAAAGTGGCCAATAACCCTATAACAACCGAAATATCAAATTGTTCAATTCTCAGACCCCCCAATATAAATCGGTATAATACTCACGCATTCTGTTCGTGTCGCTGATAGCTACGAATGTATTTCATGCTGCTATCCTTCAATTCATTGTACCACATTTGAATGGAACCATCAATGAATCGTTGAATATTAGGTGTATCGAAGTATGTCATCCAGGCAAGATTTTGTCCTGACACAGGGAAGCTTAGGGTATTATGACAATCATCATGATTCATGCGACATTGTTTAACATTCAACTCAGCCAATTTAGCTAATTCGTCGTCCCATTCCATTGTGGCCATACGACAGGCGGGATAATGTTGAGGATCACCACCACCAGCAATGAAGTTGCGTTTCTCGTTGAAGGCCGCCACAATACGATTTTGTAAGGTCTGATCTATGTTGACTAGGGCAGCATCACTGGGACAGGTTTTGTCGAATTGCTACAATTTTTGGGAGGTGAATTAAAATGGGGTGTAATACAAATTTATTTAAATTCCAACTTACTCCATTATGTCCACAGGCAACGTGTGTACCATACGAACATAAATCTTTATTGCAATAATCCGTGGCTACACTCAAGCCAATTAAGGTGGCCACCAAAAGAACTATTTTCATGGGATTCATGTTTCCTAGATTGCTAGCACTGTAGTACTGTTGAATGCAGCAATGCCCCATGTTATTTATATCAAGTCTTGAATTTGAAATTCCTATTTTGTCTCAAACTTTTATCATAATAATGAAATGCAACTGTTTTTCCGATTATTCGATAATATTTGTTTATTTATTTATTTTATTACGTGCGTTTGTATGTCATCACGCTAATAATAAGTTTTGCAATGTTTGTGAAGAAGTTTTTCTTTTGACAGATTTTCTATTTCGCGAACAAAATATTTACTCAGTTTATGTTTGGCATATTTAAAATAAAATTTGTTTTGAATATTATTTAGAAAAACATCTGTGTTAAGTTTAAGAAAAAATAACGTTTATAGATAGCATGGTCCGTGTTGCAGGGAGAATATAGAAGACAAATTAAAGATATATTCATACTTACCGATTTTATTTAATAACTAAGTGATTATTTATACTCTTTCGAATCGACTTAATGATCGAAGTTTTTGCAGTGAAAAGGAAAGCCAGAAGAAGATCCTTCGTATCCACCATTATGCGACGCGTTTCCCCGTTGGTTAAGCGGCTCATCAGGCATAATGGGCTATATGGCTTTACAAATGTCGTAAGTTGATAACTTGTATTTATTCCGCCCTGATGCGAAACTTGCATATGCGAATTAAATTCAAATTTGTCAAAGTTCGACATTTGTCTTCATTGTAGAAACAGTCCTTTTCAAAGCAAATTCTTGTTGTAGCGAGGGATAATTAATCCACACAACTACAATTGCTTCCATGGTATACACATGTTTTTGCGCAACCGTTTTGGAAGTGTTTTGATGGCTCAGAACGTTAAGTGGTCTGGCAACATTTGTGTTGCTCCGAGGACCAAAGTTCGGCTTGAATTAATTTTTGTTATTTAAATTTTGCCTTGTAAGGACAGTCATCATTTGAAAGTAATTACTAAGTGATTATTTATACTCTTTCGAGTCGAGCTTAATGATCGAAGTTTTTGCAATGAAAAGGAAAGCCAAGAGAAGAACCTGCGTATCCACCATTTATTCCGAAATAAATTAAAATGAGGTTGCCTTTGTATGGGAGTTACGAGGACAAATTTTGAAAATGTTCTTAGAGAGATTTTAAACCAAATATAATACTATTATATACAAGATTTTTGTTCATTCGGTTGAAAAACGTGTCCCAAATACAGAATAAGAAGAAGGTACCGTTTTTAGGAGCCTACCCAGAAACTTAAGTCAACATTGATAGTTTTTGGTGGAAAGATTTTCTGCCCAATAATAGTCGAAAATACTAAATAACATCCAATTTTTTCAGGCTATAACTTTTTAATATTCAAACCAGTAAGGAAAGTAGTAAAGTCAGACGGGCCGACTATATGATACCCTTCACCACTTCGGGTATATTCAACAGATGGAAGCCTAACAGACGTCGCATTTTTGAAGGACCATTAATATGAAATTAAACAGGTCTTTCTGCAATCTATAAATGTTGGTCAGATATAGAGTTGCTTCTTACACTAGGACAAAATTTTGTAAATTAATTTAAAGCAAAATATCTAAATGTAAACAGATTTCATCGACACTTGTCACATGTTAGGTTACACTTATTTTTTTATGTTTTGTGCATTCGGCCACATTTTGAGTTCTTTATTATATAAAAACATATAGGGACTTTGGTGCACCATTTATTAAAAATCGGACAAAAATATATATGAGAGCTATATCTAAATCTGAACCGATTTTCATAAAACTTAACGCACACCAATCTATACCTAAGTCATTACGCTGTGCCAAATTTCGTGCAAATCGAATGATATATAGGGACTTTGGTGCACCATTTGCAAAAAATCGGACGAGAATATATATGGGAGCTATATCTAAATCTGAAACGATTTCAATAGGGTTCGTCCTTGGGCCAAACAAGTGAGCTGTGCCAAATTTCATCCAATTCGGATCATAAATGGGAACTGTACTTTGTTTACAATTTAACATGGACAGACAGACGGACGGACATGCATAAATCGACTCAGAAAGTGATTCTATGCATATTCTCAAAAGGAACCATGTGTCTATCTCGTTTCGTGTGGACAAAGTGAGGACTGGGGTAAAGTGACTCAGGTAAACTGAGGTTCCAGATTTTTGTTTGTACGGAAAAAATACAGTGGGCGAACTGAGGCTCCGAAATGTTTCTATACGAAACCAATAAAAAATTTTCAAAGGTCGGACAGGGCCGACTATATGATACCCTTCACCACTTTGGGTACATACAAGAGATGCGCGCTATACAAAATATATCTCGACACAAAATCCAGTACACCTTATTCTAGGTTCCATTTGGTACGTTGTGCACTTCGTTCGTCCAAAACGGACAAACTGTAGTTATTTGGTACAAACTCTAGTTATTTGAAATCGGATGACAAAATATATGTGGGAGCAAAATATATTGGGAGACTTCAATCCAATACGCTATGCAACATTTAATGTAAATTTAACGCACATATGCTTTTCCATTTGTAAGTGGCAGCTATATCTGCATCTAAACCGATTTTAACAACAAAATAACGTGCATATAGAACAGGATCTACTATGCACCATTTACATAAAATAGGACTAAAGTATATACGTGAGCTATATTAAAATCTAAACCTATTTCCACAAAACTTTACAGATGTAAACATCAAAACAAAATTTTGTCTCAATCGGACGTACATTGACAGTGTAGTGCTTCATTTACATAAAATCAGGTGCTATAACTAAATCTGAACCGATTCCAACAAAACTTCGCATACATCAATCGGACAAATATTGGCAGTATGGTGCTTCATTAAAATCCATATCGATATAAAAATACTTCATATTGTTGAACTGATGCCGGTTATATTTCGATGCGAAAAAATATCTCAGATGGTGAATTGAAGCCAGATATTTTTATACCCTCCACCATAGTATGGAGGGTATATTAATTTTGTTTTTTTCCGTTTGTAACTCATCGAAATAATCATTTCCAACCCTATAAAGTATATATATTCTTGATCAGCATTACATTCTATGACGATCTAAGCATGTCCGTCTGTAGTAATCACTATAGCCTATAAACGAATTGAGATGGATCGCCAAGATTTTGCATAGAGTCGACTTTTGTCTGCAGACAGATCAAGTTCGGAAATGGGCTATATCGGTCACCGTTTAGACATAGCTCCCATATAAGGATACCCCCACAATTTTCGGGGTTTTGGGGTTCATAAGGTTGTTTTTCAACTGAATTCGCTGAAATTTGGGACATTGTGTTCTTATTGGGTAGCAAATTTCCCCACTAAAAATTATAAATACAGGTCCGCTTTTTCTGGTAGTCCATATATAAAAGTAAATTTCAATATTTTGGGGGTTTTGAGCGTATTTTTCGACTGAGTTGACTGTAATTTAGTACTTTTAATTCTTATTGGTCAGCGAATCTCTCCACTAAAAATTATAAATATATGTCCATTTTTTCAGGTAGCCCCTATATAAGGGGGTTATTGAACGCGTTTTCCAACCGAATTCACTGTAATTTGGTATTTTGTAGTCGTATATGGTAAAAAATCTCCTTATCAAAAATTATTAATATTTGCCCCTTTTAGGCGTAGTCCCCATATAACCACTATTTTATATATAAATACGATTGGGGTACTTTAAAAAATGTTTATGGGATAGTCACAGGACAAGAATCATTAATCAATGTTCGTTACTTCGAAACAAAACAGCAATCAACCGTGTTGGTCTTCGAAGGAGAAAAACAAAATTCAACGAAAGTTGTTCGTGGAACACTTCAAAGCCAAATGTCGCCTGTTTTTTCGCCAAAACGTTCATGTGGTGACTTTCCTCCTTTAACAACATAGGATGGTTAATTCCGAGTGATATATCGCAATTGCTTTGTCTGGAGTCTTCGGGGAAATTCAAATTCGAAAAAACGAATTTCTAAGAAGACTAATTATTGTACACCATGCCAATACGAGCTTTCACACATCAGTGAATTTCTTACCGACCAAAACCTGTAATTTATGTGTCATCCGCCATATAGCCCTGATTTGACAACTATGACTTGTAATTATTCGGCTCATCAAGAAATATGTAAAAACGCTATTAATTTCTATACCACCGGACTTTTCCTAAAATCGGTCGGGGCTTTATATGGGGACTATGATATTGTATAGCATTGTATTGTACAACATACCGAAAATTATGCGGGATCTTTATATGGGCGCTATGCTAAAACATGGACCTATACCGGAAATGCTTTTCAAATATATTATACATCCTCCATGAACCCTGACACAAACTTACATCGTCTTCGCCTAAAACCTTTAAAAAATATTGAAAATTCCGGATCCTTAAAACGCTTCTCCCCCTCCCTCACGAAATGTCACATTATAGCCACTTCAAAGGGTTTTATACCAAAACGTGTCCCTATATCGAACATTTTCTGCAGAGATGTTTATAACTTTCCAAAATTCCTGAATTCCAAATTACAGCCACTTTGGTCGAAGAATACGGTTCACATTTTAAAAATACCGAAAATAAGAAGAGACCTGCAAGAACCGTTGGTTTTGAAATGTAGCTAAAATCTTAAAAAAAAACCGAAAAATGTTCAAATCATGGTCATAATAATCCAGAATTACAGCCACTTCAATTGAAAAATCGCTCTTCAAAAATCCCGGAATGTTAATTCTCAGTCCTTTGGTTGGAAAATCCAACTAAACCTTAAAAATACCGAAAATGAGGCGAAGCCTTTATAAGTCGACTATATAAAAACCAGTGAGCGGAGCAATAAAGTCGGACGGGGCCGACCATATGATACCCTACACAACTTCCATGAAAATCAAACTTTCGGTGCTACCTATAATTATTTGCTCAGATTCCCTTCACCGTGGGTTGTGTTGTGATGTTCGGCTTTCAATGGTGTCCTATAAATCGACTCGAAAAAATACAAAAATAAGTTTTCAGCCCACTTCATCCCAAAATTATTATCTGATCATCATCTAAAATTGTAGGCGCTAAATATTGACCGATCTTT